TGGAAGGAATCTGTTCCAGACTGCATTTGTCTTTTGCCGAAGCTCAAACTCTGGCACAGGATCGGGAACGCTGGAAACTCTGTCTGACATGTCTGTCTCCGCGACCTGAAAGGAGAAGCGGCGATGGAAGATGAAGATGAAGACTGCGTTAGCTCAACTTTTGGTCAGCTGGTTTTATTGCTATGCATTTGCCTTGTTTATATTAACTTTACGCTCTCCACCATCCTCCGTACACTGTGTGAGCCAAAATGTTTTTCACTGAACTCTCATGTCACTCACAGAGAACCTGTTCTTCAATCGATCATGCTTATTAGCTTCAGTAAAGGCATTTTCTCATCACAAATCGAAACTGTGCCGTAGGCAACACCGGATAATATAACCGTACATAGAGAAGACACATGTAGACCTTCAGTGTCTCGTAGATAGGCCATTTACAATCAGCTGCTATTCTTTCCTCTTTCGGCTGTTTGGCTTTCTGACCGATCAACAATTCCTCAAGTCTCAAGGCAGACGGACTCATATATTTTTTTATGACAGAGTAAGTTGCGCCTACATCGGCAACCATACTGAAATAAAGCAACAGAACGACTTTTGGTTCAGAAAGATCCAGCTACTGACGACGACTCTGACAGTGATCGAAATTTTCCGCGATATTTAGCTTGAAGAATAACGACGTACGGGCCAAAACCTTGGGAATACTTTACCAACCCATACGTAGGTATTCTTTCTGATACGTCTGATAAGATTAAAGCAGATCCTGCACATTTTCAACACCAGCTTCAGCAACTCCTAGACGACTGGCAAGAATAACTAGGTAATTCGCATTTGTAATTCCATTTTCTACTAAATTGCTGAGATTATGACAAGGCTCAAGTTTTAATCCACACATTTTTCAAACAATTGTATGAAAGTTTTATATATTAAAACACCTTACATACTACACTGCAAATATACCGTTTTGGGACGCTCAGGACATGACTTTTGTTCAGTGTATTACCTTGTCGCTTTTCTCTGGTGCTACTTTTTCCGCAACCTTTTCCTTGAATAAAGGCATAGTCCCATTAATGTCGCAACCCGCCGCGCGAAGTCGTTCAGCCATCGCTTCCCTGATGACCCTTTTCATTTCACACTACGACATAAAAGATAAAAAGTACAAATTATCATATGCAGCATATTAATTTACAGCTTAAAAATACTGCTACACATTCAACCTGTAACACAGTACGCCGTAAAATATTATATAATGGATGTGCGGTAGCACTGTTCAATAGGGAAAGAGATGCTATAAGGATGAATTATGCAAAAAACGTTTATTTATTTAATAACATCCAAATATAATCAGGCCACACTCTCTGAAACGACAACATTGATGATATATCAAGTAAAATGTTCTAGCGTAATTTCTTATGACATTTAAACTAAATAATAACACTATAGATACTATCTTATTTCGGACAACAGAAAAATTAATCACATTCATCTGAATTCTATTTTACCATACGTTGAATATATTATTTAAATTGAATTAACACCTTGTACTTTCTTAAACTGAGTTTACACTTCGACATACGACGAAATGCTAATTAAAAAGATCAGCCAAAAAGCGTGGTTTAAATGAAGAGATATGATCAGTACACTGTGGATAATAAGACGCTGGTAAAACTGAAGGGAAAGTTGCAAAGAGCGATAGCAAGGCTAATACTTCTGTAAGTAGCGGAGTGACTGGCTATCCGGGAGAGACACGACCAACAGCTGAACTCCATAGAAGTAAAAATCCTAAGATGGATTTATGGTTTCAGCAAAAAATATTAGAATACCTTCATAAGAGACGCATTAGGAGTAAATTTAAGAAAAGCTTATCAAAAGTGGGCTAGGCCGATTTGGCCATATGAAGAGAAAATGCGAAAAGTACATTCGAAATGTATTCCAAGCGTTGATACCGCCACGGAAAAGAAGCAAAAATTTAAAGAAAAGATTACGCAAAGAACTTGCGATGAGAAACAGCGAGAAGTGACCAGAGATTTGACGACAGACCGAGAAATATGGCGGCAACTGACTCGAACAGTGAATCCTTAGGAAAAAGAAGTTTTCACCCTTGTGCAGATTATCACACTACACAGTCAGCAATCAGGTAGAAAAAGTAGATTTTCAACCGGCAACAAGCAACATAACCGTGCGACAGTAAGTTTTGGTAAGATGACATCAGAACACCATTAAGTCCCTACTGTTCGCAGGTCAACAACTCGCTACGCATTTTTAGGTTAGTTGCATCGAAGCAAAGCGGGACGAATTCCTTTCGGGAAAGTGATTCAACAAAATTTTTGAGACGCCTGCGATGTCAACCCCGCCCCGTTGAAGTTCAATGCATATTACAGGTTTACGGTGCTAGTACGCCCATTCTATGTAATAGGGTGTAATATACTATTTTTTACAATGTGCAATACAGTACTGTGACCGTATAACGTATGTAGTGTACAGGCATCGTATTATACATTGCAATATAAATATTAGCTCTATTAATAGAAATTGAGCAGAATAATATATTAGGAATTTAGTTAACACCATTTGCAACGTCAAAGGCATAACTCGAGACAATGCATCATACCGTGAACAATTTCAATGACTGCAGAGCAAAATGAATAGAAAATATTCAGTACATTGCAATTAGTGCTTAACTGCATCATTACTGCGTTTTGCGACGTACTATAGCATCCCCTTATTGCAAGGGGTAATTAGACAAACTTTCGCCTCCAGAATATATGGTATTCAAGCACCGGAAGTTACACATAGATTTCGAACTATTACACGG